AGAATCATGAAATTTACACGGAAGGCTCCGTTGGGGGCGAACAGATTTGAAAATGGGGAATTTTTGAAATTAGAACTCAAGTGGCACGAAAATTACCAAAATGTACTAAATTGCGTACAAAAGGCTGCAATGAAATTTAAAAAAGAAAAAGACAAGTACCAAATACTTGACCATTCTTAGAGAGCGATCGGGAAGAGCAGAAGCTCTACATTTTATATTATATCTTACAAAATTGTAGTGTAAAAAACGGTTTTAAGAAAATTGTACTAAATGACTACTAATAGTAATTAATTGTACTTAATACTGATATTCGAACAAGTCTAACTATAATTCCGAAATTTGGTTTCGAAATGTAGGTATGTCCCTGTATTGCCATATAGTTTTAATGAAAACTGGGGAATAATCTAGCATTTTATGAGACTTATGATTATTCAAAGGTTTGCTGCTTTGTGAAAGAGCTACCAGAAGAAGTGGAACAACAAATATAATCCGAAAAAGCTGGAACTTTTGGAGGGGATAGCTACAAAGAACTATGGACCAAAATTGTCCATATTCCCTTCCCTGAAGTAAGTCTGAAAATAAATGTTATTCCTTGCCAATTTCCATCGGGTAATCGACTCGTTTTATGCGAGATATTCGTTTAATTTGTTTCGAAATATTTAACATTTACGGGTTAAGCATTTATTAACAAAAACCAAAAAAGGAATTGCGGACTTTCATTTACCTCCAAAATTTTCAAGGAACTCCAAAAATTTAAAAAAAAGTTCCGTCGAAAAATTCCTCTCTCAAAAAAAAAAAAAAAAGAAAACATTATATGGGCGCTATTCGAAGACGTGGTCCTGTATAAGTAATTGCTTGGCATAGGCTGTAGTAGCAATTCCGAACTTTAAATACGAAATTTTAAACAATTCCGGTTAATTCTGCCGCCAATTTCATCAAAATACCGTTATATGTGGGTTATATGAAGCAGGTCTACATGCACAGACAATTTTCTGCAATACCCATTACGATCTCTAAATACGACATTTGAAACAATTCCGGTGAATAATGTCGTTAAAATCATCAACATGTCGAACTTCAGGAGGTGTAGTTATATGGGTGCTATACGAAAACGTGGGCCAACATGGCCCATTTAGTTAGTTAAGTTATCGTGATTACAAAAATACGATTACATAAAACGTGATATGAGCATCGGATTGAAACTCGGAACATCCCAATAAAAGATTAGATGTGATGATGAGTCAAAATTTTGAATAACTTATATTCTTTTCAAAATTCACACGTTCCCATCATTTTACCAATACAAGATTTTAAGTGAATATGTGATATACCGGCTCAATCCTTCCAGTACGTCCCCCTTGAAGGAATCAACACTTTGACCCAAAATTTTCCTAATTTTTTTCTCTTCAAGTATCAATATTTTTATTGACACATGAAACATGGCATTGTCTGAAGATGATGAATGCAGACCAACCCCTTCTGGTATCTCCCCACAAACGGTCACAATTTGCAAAACTTATATCTCATAACTTGTCAAAAAGAATCAACTATTTTTCTCAAACTTGGTTTCTTCTTAACTAGAGATCTAATCTGAATATGAAATTTATCGGCCCACTCCTACTGATATCTCCACCACAAACAATTATTCTCATAAAACTGGAAATAAATGTTCGATTTTCTTTGAATGTTGTACATCCAAATCAGTATTGGGTTAAGTGGAAGACTTCGTTTCACTTGTTCTGGTACCCACATACTTTATATAAATGGGATGAAGTAGTCGATATAGTCTTAATCTGACACATTGTAATATTTATATCAGAATTATGCCAGATGCGAAATGAACACTCTTGGCCCACTCGGAAGCTCCCTCATAAAGGGACATAATATATGTAAATAATCGAAAAGTGGCTGAGGGTATAAATCTGTCGGCAAAACGGACTGATACGCTTTTTATTGGAATTTAAATATAATTTTGGATGAATCGTATTGAATGCTTATTTCGCTTTCGTTGAGCGTTTTGTTTTTCAAAATCTTGAACCCTATATTGGGGAGATGCAAGTAGGAATGGTGCGATCTCTACCATTTTTCAAACTGATCTTGGGTTGATGGAAATATTAAGATGTGCCAAGTCTGAAGGTAATCGGATGTTAATTTCGCGATTTTTGAACTTCATGTATATTCAAAATTTTGACCCTTTGTGTTGAAGGTACCAGAAAGAGTGGACCGATATATCCCATCCTCACAGCAGATTTTGTGTTCGTAAAAATAATTAGATATGTAAAATTCGAAGAGAACTGAATACTTCTTTCGGATTTTATAATCGTTTTGGTTTAAAACGTTGACCCTTTGTGAAGGGGTTACCAGAAGGAATGGTCAGATCTCTACCATATTTATAACAGATCTTGAGTTGATAAACATATTGAGATGTACCAAGTCTGAATGGAATCGGATATCAAATTGGTTTTTTATGAGCTTCATGTATATTCAAAATTTGTACCCTTTGTGGGGGAGGTATCAGAAGGAGTGGACCGATATATTCCATTTTCACAGCAGATCTTGTTTTAGTAGAAGTAATGCAATGTGTGAAATATGAAGAGAACCTGATTGTAGTTTCGAATTTGATGATCGGTTTGTTTATTCAAAATGTTGCCCCTCTGTTGGGTAGGTGGCCGATACTATCCATTTTCGCACCCGACCTAGCAGAGGTGCAAGGTCGGAAAGTTGGAGGAAAATGGGATTATCCTTTCTATATATCCGATTTTCCTCCAACTTTCCGCATCTTAATATTTGATAATGATATTAAACTAAACCAAGTTCGGGCCAAATCGGCCAGACAGACAGACGGACGAACGGACATCGCGAGATCGACTTCAAAGGTCTAGGTTCTTGGCCGTATCAAATTATATACACCCATAATACTGAGGGTAAAAAAAATATTTTTCTTACGAAATTATATTAGACACCATTGGGACATTTTAATACCCTACACCACAAGGTGGTCAGGGTATTATGTCTTTGTGCATTTTTGTAAGTAACATAGAGAAGGAAGCGAGGTAGACCCAAAGTTACTTTTGAGGATCTCCGATTAAGATGAAATTTTGCACATTTGCTTGGCCCAAGGACGAACCCTATTGAAATTGGAGATAATCGGTAAAAATTTAGATATAGCTCCCATATATATCTTCGTCCGATTTGCCTTTTATTGTGCACCAAACGTGTAATATCGTCCCAAATAGTATGGAATTTGCACATACAACCAAATTAGGCCTGGAAATAAGTATGCCAACTTTTATCGAAATCGGTTCAGATATACCTATAGCTCCCATATATATTGTTCATCCGATTTGTTATTTTTGTCCCCCGCAGCCGTAATATGCACTCTGTAACAACAATATTTGGGGAAATATATCAAATGCAGCTCAGAAATACTTTTGCTAAATTTTATCGAAATCGGTTCAGATTTAGATATAGCTCCCATATATAACTTCGTCCGATTTACTTTTTATTGTGCACCAAATGTCTAATATTTGCCCAAATAGGATGGAATTTGGCACATACGACCGAATTGTGTCTAGAAGCTAGTATGACAAATTTGGTGAAGATCGGTTCAGATATAGCTACAGCTCCCATATATATTGTTCTTCCGATATGTTATTTTAGTCCTCCGCAGCCGTAATATGCAATCTGTAACCACAATATTTGGGGAAATATATCAAATACAGCTCAGAAATATCTTTGCCAAATTTTATTGAGATCGGTTCAGATTTGGATATAGCTCCCATATATAACTTCGTCCGATTTACATTTTATTGTGCACCAAATGTCTAATATTTGCCCAAATAGAATGGAATTTAGCACATACGACCTAATTGAGATTTGGATATAGCTCCCATATATAACTTCGTCCGATTTACATTTTTTTGTGCACCAAATGTCTAATATTTGCCCAAATAGAATGGAATTTAGCACATACGACCGAATTGAGTCATAGTATGCCAAATTTGGTGAAGATCGGTTCAGATATAGCTATAGCTCCCATATATATTGTTCATCCGATTTGTTGTATTTGTTACCCACAGCCATAATATGCACTCCGTAACAACGATATTCAGGGAGATATATCAAATACAGCTCAGAAATATCTTTGCCAAATTTTATTGAGATCGGTTTAGATTTGGATATAGCTCCCATATATATCTTTATATGATTTCAAATTAATTTTGCACCAAATGGGCAATGTAAGTCCGTATTTAAAAGATACAAATGCTTGGGCACATTTAGTCCTTTGAACTTTAAATAATAATTATAATCATGGCGTGTATGATTGAACTCTCCCATAAAAACTTTTAATTGTTATGTGGAGCTCTACTAAATTAGCAAAGTGCTGTAGGGTATCATAAAGTCGGCCCGCCGACTTTAGGACTTTCTTTACTTGTTTGTTATTCTGCCAGGGCAATAATCTGATCCTCTCATGCCAAAAAATATTCAGTATAGGTCCAATAGAAAATTAGAAAATTCCCTAAAAAAATTCCGCCAAAAAAAAAAAAAACAAGTTCAAGCAGAAACAAACCACGATTTAATATTTTTACACTAGTCAGATCCTTTTACACTAGTCAGATCCTTGAAAAAAAAGAATGGTCTATCCATAATTTGTGAATCTCTGATTTGCACTATCTTAAGAAAATATGGCCTTGCTATTTCGTCCACCAAAACAGCTCATTTTATATCCACTATTTATATGTCTTTATGCATTTCTACTAATCATCATTATTTACTTAACATCCATCCATTTTTACAATTTCGTTTCACCTACAACAACAACAACATTATTGGTTCAAAGTTTAAACATCTCATAAACTTTATATTGACAAACTATGTATGTTATATTCGAAAGTTCAAAGGTTCTGCTACAACTGAACTTTACCCCTAGCTTTTAGGTTATGTAATTTTGTATTTTATTTTAATTAATTTTTATACAAAAATTTTCATTTCAATTTCAGTTGTAAATTTCCTTCATCATCTATCCCTGTCTTCCAAGCGGCGCAAGTCGGTGATTGTAAGAGTGCGTGTGTGTGTGTGTGCGACTGTTTGATTGTGGCACATCATCTGAGCCCGCATTCCCAAGGACACTAAGGACAACAATGAACATGCAGACGGTCCAGTATTTGGGACCAGCACAACAGGCCACCCCACCGCCGCCATTTCGTTACAATGGACCTACGATGCAACCGTATGCTGCTCCGCAACAGCATGTTGCAGCCACCCTGCCACATGGCCATCAGCCTCATCATCAGCAGCAGCAATCACCTTGGTTTGTTAGCAGCAATGCCAGTAATGTTGGAGGTGCCGCCACTGTAGTTGGCGTTGGCCATGAGATTGCAGCTGCTGCTGTTGCTGGCGTCGGGAACGGAGGTGGTGTTGGTGTCTCAACAGCAACAACTGCTGGTTTTATGCCAAATACAAATCCAATTTACAGCACTACACCAATTAAAGGAAATGTAAGTGAATTAAATAGTTGTTTTTCATTCATTCCCCACTCACCTTTCTCATTTATCCTCTCTCTCCTCTCACTTTCCTCCCCCTCCTTTTGATACTGCGAACAAGTGCAGCAACAAAATAAAATTAATTACCTTTTTAATACTTAAGTACTAGCCAACCAAACACCTACCTAGAATGAGAACACAATTGCTGCATCTAAATGGGCAAATAAAAACAGCAGCAGCAACAACAAGAACAACAATAACAAAAATGAAATGAAAAACAAATTTCCTGATAAATGAACGAATGAAAATACCAAGTCATTCAGTTGCTTGTTCCACTTCCACCATTGAGAGTGCTTTTAGGCATCCACTTTTTTTTCATCCTCTTTCTGTGGCAGCGAAAACAAATGTGACACAAAAACACGAAAAGACTGAAAATTAATAAGATTTCCTCCACTTGCTGCAGTTGGATTTGAAGAAGAAGAAGAAGTTATTTCCGCTAGCCCCACTGTTTGAAGATAACATGTCCTACAAACTAATTAGTTTGACGTTGTCATTGCCTAATCCCAACATATTAATTAGTCGCTCATTTGGGAAGACATGACATAAGTGGGGGATATTAAAAATATTACAAATGAATAGGAATTGCTCAAGATATTTTTTTGTTTAAACTTGTGGGTCCTCGTTAATAAGAGAATGGATACTGTGAATAAAATGTTATAAATACAAATTATATTATATGAAAATTTTATTCCCTTTCAAACAAAAAACTAATTTTCTAGAAACTATGAATAATATAAAAAAACAAATATGTAAATGTAAATGTGCTGGACCGACCTTAAGATACGCTACAACACTATAATATATTGGAAAACTCCCTTGGTCGATTTTGTTCTTGAAATAATACCATACAGTCACTTAAAATATTACTTTTTGTTTTAGCCCTATATATACGCTCTCTGTCCTGCTAATCAGTATCCAAACTATTTCACACAAAATTTGTGAGCCATTTAACCTGCAAAATATAATCCGATTACCACTATAAATGATAAAGTTTTTCCCTGTCCTAAACTCTAATCTCATGCAAAATTCCGTGCCCTGTTCCACTATAATTGTGATCTGAAGAGTGACTATAAAATCAGATAAATCAGCTTTTAGTCAATCCTAATTATTGTGCCAACATCTTTAAAACCAATAGGCTTCTATTATGACCCTTACCTAAATTCCATGCTAAATTTCGTGAGGATCGGACGATAAATGCACAAATAGTGATTTGGGTGTAAAAAATATTTCAAGTCAAATTAAAAAAATAAAACAAGTAAGCAAAAGCTATAACCGTGCGGGGCCGACCATGTGATACCCAACAACGCTACAATATGTTAGAAGCTCCCTTATGTCCAAATCAATTTTGGAAGATTTCGCTTTTAAAATTATGTCACGGAGTTCTGCCCAGATATTACCATTAGCAGTTTGACCAGGGACATTTGTCCAATATTTACGCACTCTGTCCTCCATAGGATTATATTCTACAGCTAAATATAATCCAGAACGTGGACCGATATATCTCATTTTCAATACCAACCATCATAGACACAATACAAATTCCTCTGCTAAATTTTGGCGCTCTACGTCAAATAATGTGGGTTGTATCGTGATTTCAACAGACAGACGGACGGACAGACAGACAGACGGAATCGACTTAGAATTTTATGCTGATTATGAATATATATATACTTTATGGGGTCTACGCCTATATTTAAAGATGTTACAAACGGAATGACAAAGTTAATATACCCTCCTTTCCAAGGTGGAGGGTATAAAAATCGCATGCGATAAAAATTATAAAAAAAAATGTCACAAAGTGCTACAAAATCTATATTTAAATCATTATTGGCATATTTTTATGCGATTTTTAAAGATTTTATTCTTTTATGCCAAAAGGGCACTCTGAATTGACAAAATCGGTCCAGTCATTCTTGAGATATAAGCATTTTAGCTAACATCCCCTTCCTTTCTAGATATGTGTTGTATATATTTTGCTATATATATCCGATACATTTACTATCGGTATCTACGTAACGGTCAGGATTGACCTTTTCGTCTTTTTATGATTTCGCCGGTATTAAAAATATTCGCGGTTTAATGAAAAATTTGACTTTTATTTAACACAAATGTTATGGCCTATATCACCCACTAAATAATTCCCGATGACCATCAAACTTGGAAGGCTTCTGCTCAGCCCTGAGCTCTAGAACCATGCTGTCTTCCGTTTCGATTGGTCCATAATTGCGGCCTGGAGGAGCTGCAAAATTAGGAAATTTTTTTGTTTTTGGTCCCTTTCAACTCATAGATATTATGCGATCATCTCCAAAAGAAATAGGGCTCTATTCTTGCCCTATCCTCTCCTCTATTCTAAATTTCGGGAAGATCGGGCCATAATTGTGACCTGTAGAGTGATTACAAATTAATATGGACAGACGGACTGACGGACATATATAGCTAGATCGACTCAGGTCGGCGAGATAGGAAGATCCATATATAATTTCCTATGTGGGAAATCAATATTTCGAGGTGTTATATAATTGTTGGCCCAATCAAACTTATAATACCCCCAACACATAGTGTTGTAGGGTATAAAAATATCAATTTAAGTTTCTGCTTTTAGTACATCTCTTATAAAGGGATATCCCCTGATTTTACTTATTGGGGGCGCTAAAGTAAACATCCGATGTTTTTGGCTGTAATTAAAAAAAAAATGAAAAACTTTGTTTCTTCTTGTGGATTATTTTTATATGGTATTTTATTTATTTATTTTTTTTAACATCAAGCATTTTATGGCATTTTCCATCACTTTATTCCGGCGATTGGTCCCACATTCTTGACGAATATTGTCTTTAAGAGCTCAAAGAGTCTGAGGCTTGTAGACATAAACTCGTGTCTTCAAAAAGTCCCACAAAAAGAAGTCTGCAGCGGTTAAATCGGGCGATCTTGATGACCACTGCAAATCGCCAAAATGGGAGATTAGACGCCCGGGAAATGAATCCTTCAGCATATCGATTGTGGCACGTGCAGTGTTGGCCTCTTCACTATTATTATTTTTTGATGAAAAATCATCTTCTTCTTGGTTATGATTAAGGATGGCTTGAGCGAATGTTGGACGCGTTTGGCGGTCAGCAGCTAAAAGGTGATGCACCAACTGGACTTTGTAGGGTAATATCTTCAAATCTTATACCAAAATTCGCTGTAACAAACGTCGACTGAGACCAATTTGCGTGGCATGTCGCCTGCTTGATGTCGACGGCGCTTCCATGACATCCTCGACTGCAGCATCAATGTTCTCTGCAGGACGGATATCCCGGGGTCTGCCTGGCAGCATGTTTTTTATTGTGGCAGTCTCATCAAGGCGAGCGGCTAAACGTCGCAGTGGTTCACAAGTAGGCGTTGGATGGCCAGGAAATACGCGACGAAATTTACGTTGTGACAAAGTCACCTACCGATTATTGGTCAAATAAATAGTCACCAATATTCCACATGTGTTTACTACGAAAATGTCAAAACGGAACTGATATTAGAGGCCAATCGTAAAATTTATAGCATTTTCTCATAGGAGGATTACTTTTGCACCACCTTGTATTAGCATCTTCTGTCGGAAACCAAAAAAGGTAATATTTAGCCAACCGCTATAATTGTTTGTCCTTTAGTAATCCTTTTCTATTTTTCAATTTCAATCGATAAAACCTCTTGCACTTTTTTCCGACCGACCTTATATTCATTCCCTGACTCGAAAAATCTTCCACAGTGATATCTCAAAAATAAATTCCCATGCACACAACATACATTAGCTTAAATCAAAACTAATTTAATAATGATATTCGGAAGAAACTTGTACATCTCCGGAGCATAGCTTTGAATAGTTTTTAAATCCATTAAGTCGAAATGCTAAATGGCTTTCAAAAGAAATATCAGCTTAAATACTTTAAATGAAAATGATTTCGGTATAAATGTTCGTATTTCACAACGAAAAATAACTTTGAAAACTAAAATTAATTAAGACCAAAACTTATATGAAATCACAGTTTTCTTGCTGAAGCCCCCACCCCCTGCCCTTGCGATGAAGATAATAGTTTTAACCATAAACTACTCTGCTGTTGAACGGCAACTCTCGGAAGTCTTTGTCCGAAATGTTATTATCCTACAAGGCGTGGCGGGAGGATTTGAATTGCAATAAAATGCATTGCATTGTCGGTCGCAAATAAGCCAGAAACCAAAAAGATCCAAAACAACAAAATGCCAGAACAAAAAAAGCCAACTAGAAGAAGAAGAGGAACAGACAAAACCAACTACCAACTATTCTCAATATTGTAACAGACATTTAATATGTGCTATGCTGCGTGATGCATGTTGCCGTTGCAACTTGAGGAAAAGTTTTTTTTTTTTTTTTTTTGGTTTTTGTTTTTGTTGTGGGCCGTGGGGGGATTATTCACAAAAAAAAAAGAAATTATATATGAAAATTTGCTGTGTGTAAGAGTGTGAGTTTAACATTTGCCCTTTTATGGCGCAGATTTAATTTATTGCCAGGCCATATCTGTGAAAACAAAAAAAAATGAAAAACGGGAAAAGCACACTCGACTCGCACACACACAGGCATACTCACACAAATAACACACAAAAATCTCTGTAAAGGAAATAAAGCCGGAGGCATCCGAAAGCATCAACATTAAACGCGTTGCCACACAGATCAAAGAGCTACTGCCCTACAACAATAACATCAGCCACAGAGCAGTCAAGTCCTCCAAATTGCCTAGAGGATGCGTTCATATATCTTTTTTTTCTTTTGGAGGAGGCCGGACCGAGAAATCCGTAACGGAAAAGCCAACATGTATAACCTCCGTCTCCGATGATGCCATCCATGGTAGTTATATAATTTGAACTATTCTATTTTCTCCTTATTTTTATTATTATTATTATTTTTCCGGTTTTTTTCTATTTTTTGGCTTATGAAAAACTGAAGATTTTCA